AAAAAGAAGAAAAAAAAAAATCTTACCCTATTAAGCAAAGGCTACTTACTAAGTTAATGGTATTTTCTTTACAAAAATTAAAATTTTATTTTTAGGCTTTAGTTAAGGAAATTGTCCAGTAGGTACCCAGTACTTCAAAACAAAACAGAAACTATTCATCATTAGACAACTGGAGTGTTTGCTGGTTTTGTAACCTATTAAAATGGTCAGGATGGGGAGTCATCATTTGTTTATTTTAAATAAATTCTTGACTTTTCTCAAAAATTAAGTAATATTCATATTTTTATCACATCTCATACACATTTCATGTGTCACTAGCCAGACAAATATCTAAAAGAATTCATCTGACTATTCTGAATCAGTGTCCCAAGGGACATTAATTAACAATATCTAAAGATGATTTTAATTGTGGTGTTAGCCTGCAACAAGTAAAGGTCAGAGATGCTATTAAACATCCTACAATACACAAGATAGACCCTCAAAGTAAAGAATTATCTAATCCAAAGTATCATTTGAGTACTAATAGAAGCTGTGACTGAGCAACAAAAATTATATGGATTAAAAAAAGAAAGTAATGATTATTAAGGACCTATTATGTGTCAGATATTTTTAAATTTTGCTTAATCAAAGTTTTTTTACAAAAATGACCATGTGTTGCTTGTGACACTATACACTCATAAATCTATCACATGTACTTAGAACACCTATAATAATTAGCAACAGTTAGGCTATGAATCTCTTACACAGTGTACCTTTTCAGTTATTTTATGTCTGACACAAAACTTGATTTATAAATTTCTACAGTCCACATAATTAAAAATTCCTAAAACAGCTCTATTGGGTTTGGTGACAAATGCCAGTAATACCAGCACTCAGAAGGCTGAGACAAGAGGATCACAAGTTCAAGGGTGGCCTCAGCTATAGAGGAAAACCTTACCTCAAAAACAAAAATCTATTTCTGCACATGCAAATACATATACTAGCCTAAAGTCTCTTATTTGTAATCTTAAATTTAAAAATTCTGAAACTGGGCACAGCAGTGCATACCTATAATCCCATCACTCAAAGGCCGAGGAAAGGGGACTGCCACAAGTTTAAGGGCAACACAGGCTACCTGGTGCATTTAAGACCAGCTTGCACTACAAACTAAGACCCTGTCTCAAAAACACAAACAATTCTGAAGAAAAATAAATTTTGATAAGTCAGCTGTAAGTCAAAATGGGATGTCAACAATTTGACAGTCTGTTTCCACCACTTACTTAGAATATTCAAGTCTAACTGCAGAAATGTTATGTTTAATTACAGAATGTTCTCTTAACATCCAGATTAATATTTTTTTGCCACTAACAGAAACCAAGCTCTTTAGAAAATTGATATTAAGTCTAGAAAATATCTTTTGCCAGAAAACAAGGGAACCATCAAAGACGGGATGGTATCAAAAGGCTATCAAGACAAACTCAGAGGAGTTCCCACTGGCCCAGCAGACAGCAATACGAACATCAAAATACATATTAAGTGAGATGAATTTAAATATATCAACCATACAAAAATTCATAAGCTCAGGGCCGGGGAGATGGCTCAGTGGAATAAGCG